ATTTTATCTTTGTGAAACATAGTTTTTCTAAGAAAATCCTATTTTTGAAAATAATTAATTGAAATACCTTCTATATATTTCTAATAAATTAATATGATAATTACATATCTAAAGTATTATACTTAATGAATCTCTGTTATGTTTTCTTTTTATTACCTTCTCGTCTGAATCGAGATTATTTGTAAATCATTGTATATAATATCATCTCAGTAACTGCAGTTATGTTCTTGTCCACGATTCGACTGATAGAGACAAACTAAACGTAGGAGAGATAAATCACACGACTGAAGACCAAATGTGTATACATTACAGATGTATACGTAACCGTTATTGAAAGAAAATGTTCTCTCTATATGTGTGTGTGTATTTCATCGAATTTTGAACACATGATTTTCTCAAAAAAAAAAAAAAAAAATAAAAAAACGAGATCTCAAATGAACAAATGTTATACTCTTTTAATTCGATTTATTTTTACATTTAAAATCATCATCAGTTTGATTGCATGTATCCAGTTTTCAGACAATGCCCAATTTATGCATGTTACATACGTATAAAAATAATTAATCAACACGAACATTTCCGAACAATCCAATTATACGTTGGATGGATTGAAAAACTTGACAATGAAACAAGTATTTCGGTCTAATTCATTTTTGTTTAAATCATTTGTTTCCTTTTCAAAATGTAACAATTTTCAATGTATTATCGTGTACGAAATTATCGATAAGTCTCAAAACCTTTAATTACACTTTTAAATTTTACAAAATAATATCCACGAAATGTTTTGAATAATAAAACATTTGCTCTTTCGTTTCATAATAAAATTATGAGACTATCGGAACAAAGCTTTTTGGGGATATGATGCCATTACTACTACTCTACTATTACTACTATTACTATCGTAGAATTTGAATTTGCAATTCGTACGATACGCCTCAGGTTAAGTTTTTCAATTCTACGCGAATAACATCCGGCCCCGATATTCTGCCGATTCCGGAAATTATTTATCCGGTCGTCACGAAAGAGAAAGAGAAAAATAACGAAAAAGAGAGAGAGAGAGAGAGAGAGAGAGAGTGAGAGAGAGGGAAACCTCAGAGGGAAATTCTTGTATCTCAAAATATGATTTTTTTCTCTCTCTCATCGTTATTCCGCTCATTCGTTTTTCTCAATCAAAAATATAACATAAAATGTATCATTTGTTTCTTTTTTGTTTTTTATTTTTTTAATTATTAACATACATGCATACTATCATAAGAAAAATACCTATGACGTATATTTACTTCTTTTTTATTTATAAACTACGTATATACGAATGAGTCGTATGACTTATTATTAACGAATACCTTAGGAGAATAAGAAAATTCTGTTTCTATCGGAAAAATTGATTATTCGAACGATCGTAAACGTATGAGGAGGCAAGAAGAACGATAGAATATGGTTATGCTATTCGCGAATCGAAATATTCTAGTAAAGAAAGAGAGAAGAAAACAAAACCATAGACCGGATACGATGCATACAGATATATATATATATAGATGTATGTATGAATTTGTACACATGCATGTATCAGTTGCTGAAATGTTTTCCATCGTTCTCGTCTCGTTTCAATCTCATCTTTATTTCGACTATTTCTGAACGAATATTTATATATACAATGTGTCCCAAAGTCTACCAAACAAATTGCGAGAACATATTCTACTACAAATGAAACAAGACCAAAAAAAAAATGTTATTCGGTTAGAAACCGCTTTACAACGAAATTATAAACAAATGAAATTGAAATACGCATTGGCAGATTTATCTGTGTATAGAACAATACTATTAGATTTATAAATATATATTCATTTTTTCAATTACATAATTGAGATATATTTAGACTTTTATTTTCATTTTCTTATAACTTTGCAATAAAGCATTTTTATTTAAATATCAGGTAACACCTTTTTTCTTATTACCAATTGTAGAATATATTTTCGTAATTTGATCGGTAAACCTCGGGACACCCAGTATATATATATGTACATATGTATATGTATAAGAGCAACGCAAAATAAAAATGGTAGATATTTGTGCACTCGAACGAAGAGATGACATTTTCGTGTTATCACGAAACAGGATTTTCGATATACATAGATATATTTTACGTTGAAATTGGCCAAAGAATTCCAACTACGATTTTCTCTTTCTCTCTCTCTCTCTCTTTTTTTTCTCTCTCTCTCTCTCTCTCTCTCTCTCTCTCTTACTCTCTTCTTTTTTTCATTTCCCAAAATTACGCTACATTTTGACCGAAATCAAATCGAAAGAATGAGTTTTGGTAATGATAAATGAAAAGAGAATCGTTAGCGATTAATGCAAATTCGAGAATAATCTAATAATTTGTTCCCAAAAGAAATTTATGGAAAAAAACTAAGATAGAATAGAAAACGCAAAATTTGATGAGATGGAATTACAAAAGGATAAAAAAAAAATTAAACAAAAAATATGACATAAGATGATTTTCTACGAAATGAATTGGAAAATTTCATTCGTATCAGCTGTCACTTTTTCTTCTTCTTCCTCTGAATAAATGAATGAATGAATGAATGAACGAATGAAAATAAAGATTATTCGATTCTCCAGAGAGATCCCGATAATAAGATGAATAATTTTGAGAACAAAATGTAATTTTTAAATCGTTTCAACGTTGGAAAAAAAATATATTCTCATTAGATTTCTCAGATGTTATTCACATTTAAATTCTTTCTTAAAAAAAAAAAAAAAAAAAACTCTAGATTTAGAAATGTCGATAACATTTCGATCGTAGTGTACCAACGATGTTAACAGGTAAGTCAATTTATTTTTTAAGATAACGACAAAACTTGAACTTAAAAAAAAAAAACAAAATTACAATTGTCATAAACGATTATTTTCTATTCGTATCATTCTCTGATCTAGTTAGTTAAAATTGATCTCTGATAGGAACGTATTACTACAATACATACACATATTTATATAAGTTGAAAATCTTTCCTTGTCAAGAGGATACATTATAATCTATAGATTCATACATTCCAATAGAAAGTTATACTCTACTTCCATCGGTTCTTTGTATTATATCTTAGATCTCTTGAAAGGAAATAGAAGAATTTCTATAAAAGGTGTACCTTCTACCAACCAGAGATATCTCAAAAGAATAAACCGAGAGAACAAGACTAAGAAAGGAAAAGGGAGAAAGAGAGAGAGAGAGAGTGGAAGGGAAATAGAGAAGATTTAAAGGGTTACGTTTAGCAGGGAAAACGTGATAAGCTAAAACACGTGACCACAAGAGCAAGGGAAAATGGGTTAATGGTGGTCCTAAAATGATTCGCTGCGATGGTCAAATCTGGCAACCGCAACAAATGGAAACTCGTACTCATTTCGTCGCTAGTTCATACAAATTAAAGCTGAACACGAAAGAGAGAAGACGAGGGTGGGAAGGGGAAAGGGGGATGAGGTAGGGAATACCGGGTGTTCGCCAATGATGAGCAGCAACATTTCTATGCGCAATAATTTTTCTTCCTAATATTCGACACCCCTATTCATGGCATTTGGTTTTTTCTTTTTTTTTTTTTACTTCTAAATAAGTAATTACGTTAAAGTTAATATATTATATTTTCTATTTAAAGAGAAAAAATCAATCGAGGAAGGTTGCAATGAAAAATTTTCGTTTCGATTGGTTCGGGTAATTTTATTTGTAAAATGTTGTCCATCATTTATGAACACCCTGTAGATGTCCCCGATCGATAGAGCAGGTGGCAGCACGTCGTGTTACCTGGTTAGCTTCCGGTACTCTACCAACGATCAGAATCCAATGACACTCGGCTTTGATTGAACGTTCGAAGGCTAGATCGTTCTGAAAGCTTCCCTGTTATCGGACACGATGAAATATCGGACAGGAAGTTCAATTTCAAAGGATTTACAGACGCAGACACACTGATAGGATAAACACAACATCTCAAAATATAAATGACAAAACAAACGCACAAGAAAATCTGTTCCGTTTGATACGATAAGCTTTCTGATCGCGATTATCCCCTTCATGGATCAAGTTCAATCATTTCTAATTAACAAACATTTTGTGTTTCTGAGAATTTAAATAAATCTACATTAAAACTTATTTAGAAATGTGTTTTGTACTTCAACGAGTATGTCGTCGGTCGAGAATCGAGAGAAAAATGTATTTTTTGAGAATTATCGAGATAATTCGTTGAATTATTAAACGACCATTGTTAAAATTAAAATAAAAAATAAAATATCTTCGAATATAAATTTAATTAGTTTCAGATATATATATACATATATATATACACACACACACACCGAGAATTGGTTATTTTCCAAACAACTTGATCCAGCTGTTTGTGTTGTTCGGTTTCAAAAAGATCATATTGTTTCACTTTAATCTCTCTTTTTAATTAGGATTAATAAAACTTTAGATAAACATCAGCGCCTCTGTTCTATGTAGAATGAGAGAGACAACAATAACGAAAATATGATTATACTTTTTTCTTTTTTTTTTTTCTTCTCGTTGAATTGTATTCTATTCCATTTTGTGTTATTCTTTATAACTTGTAATCTCTTATAGAACAATGTCGTTCAATAAAGCTGAAAAGACAATCTAAGTCCATTGTACGTAGAGAATTTCCAGATAACGTTTACGGACAATGCATGGACTCAGTTTAATCCGTTCCCAAGCGTGTTAACCTGTTTTCTACGGCCATTTCGGAGATGTCAGTTAGTGATTACCAGAGATTATTATGTGATCTTACCCTAAGTATGAAAGCTTTTTTTCATTTCGTAATGTTTTAAAGAGAGAGAGAGAGAGAGAGAAAGAGAGAAAGAGAGAAAGATGGAAGGAAAAGAAGATTTAAAAAATTTCGTTAGAAATAATTTTATCGTAATTTTAAATTTAAAATTTTTTTCTTGAGAAAAATATTTCAAATAATTACGAATGAAAAATAAGATTATAAGTAATAACTCACTTTACGTATGTCATCCAAATTGTGAATTTCCGGTGATAATCCGCCGTGTACACAGAGGAACTGCTGGTTCATAAGCGCTGCTAATGGTAAACAATCAAAAGCATCCATACACGCATCGTACACCCTTTCTGAATACTTTATTTTACCTGAAAAAATAAAAACAAAGTAACATAAATTATAATATGTATATCGTTTAATTTTTCTTTTTTATTTGTATACAATTGTACAATATTTTTGTTGATACAAAAATTATGATACAATTATTGATCATTTTAAGTCATATTAAATATTAATATATTGCAATCTCTTTTACAAATCATATATTAATAAATAAAAATGATAACTTTTTCATTTATAAAAATGTTTATAAAAAAAAAAAAACATATATTTGAATGAACAATAAGAAAACAATCGTTGGGAGAATTGTTTCTCACGACACATTGCGTTTTCTTATATTAAATATATATAAAAAAAAAGGAAAAAGAAACCATAATATATATATATATTATAAATTACGATTCTCGCTTAATCGTATGTATTTTTTAAAAAAGGGTTAACATATAAAGTATATTCACCGAGCACTTGGCTCACCCTTCTCGCGATAATGAAAAGAATGTAGGTCAATCGATAATCGATAGACGTAAATAAAGTCTTGTTTTTCGGTTAATTCGCCGTTTTGTTGCTTAATTGAGATATCAATTAAAGTTGGTAATGAGTATAACTGTGGTTATAAGGGATGTCGTAATTGAGCTACCATACTTGTGTTACCATCTAACCTTGTTGATCTAAAGATTGAATCTTCATGTATATATAAGTAGTAGATACATAAGTATATAGGTAAATGTATTAATCTATCTTACGTATTATGTATACCTATGTGTAAGTATATATTATATAGATATGTAGATATATATATATATATAGGAATTCCAGAATGTAGAAACGTATGGATTATTATTAGATTATTGGATCATACGTGAACACAACAACAATGTATCTACCAACAATTAAAACTAATTATTAAGAAAAGTAATTTCACTTGTGTTTTAAATTATAAACGAAATTCATTAATTATATTATTGCAATTACATTAAATGGATGTGTAGTAAACAGTTACAATACTAATCTAACTTATTATATTATAATATATAAATTAAAAGAAAGATTAATGTCAGTAGCAGAAACGCGTTTCCCTTTTTAACTATCAAACTTCTTAATGACTTTTATTAAATGAATATTTAAGAATCGTTTCGATTTTAAAGGGTGTCTGGTGTTTATACGAGGGTGAGAAAGAAAACTAAGGGAGATGAAAAACAAGACAAAAGAAAATTTATTTTCT